TCAAATATTATCATATTAAATTTTATTTAAATATTTTAAATAATTAAAAAAGTAGATCAGAGACATATTTATAGTAACTATACAAGCAAATTTGCTTGCAAATCTCTACCAATTAAGGGATAGAGGAGTCCTGCAGCAGAACGTTGACCTTTAGACAAACTACTACATAGGCCACGACTTTCCAACAAAATTTGTATTTTTCTACTATAAGAAATTTTGGACTGAGTGATTGTCAGAAAGAGTTCTTGTTTTTTTTTTTTTTTTTTTTGTTCCCTTTATCTTTATTAGTATTAGTTTTTTTTCTTTTATAAGTTAGTTGGAGATTATGAATTCTTCTGCTCAGGAAGCTAAGAGAAGAAGGTTAGAAAAGGAGATAATCTTAATAGGCTGTAAATACTATTTAGTGATGTATTGAAAAATTTATTTGCAGGGTTTTTTGATATAGAGATAGACTTTACTATAGCAGATCAAACATAAATAATTTGGGCACTTCAGTATCACAAAGAGCCAGGTTAGCTAATACTTGTAACTTAGGCAAACTATAGATAACTTTAATTAAAGTATATTTTTACCTGTAAGTTTAAATTTTTATATCTAATAAAGTAATAACAAAATTGCCAAATTGAAAAAAAAAAAACAACCTAAATTACACTAAATCACTTTAGTGAAGTAATAATATTCCACTTCCATACTACTTTATATCTTACTCTGTTGTTTCAGAGATCTGCAAATACTATATTTTTAAAAAGGCTATAGTTTATTTATAACAATATAAAAAAAGCTAGTTGGTAATTTTGGCTAAAAAGCTATTAACAATTTGATTGTTGTGTATTTGTATTTAGCCTACTTCTATTAAGCAGTTGCTAGTGCCTATGTTAAATACTAAACTATGTGTATAAAAGGTAAATGCTTAGATGTTATTGTTGCTAATAGTGTATCATATTAGCATTTGGTATGCTTCACTGTTATAAAAAATAGTAGAAGCTAGTAAGTTTGTAATATTGATATTAAGTAAGGGTATAATTGTAATAGAATGTTTAATTGCAATAGAGTATAAAAAGTTAATATAATTAGCATTCAATTTAAGTTTTTTGTTAGTTGTTTTTCTATCCAAAAATTGTATGAACAGTGTGGTGAATCTTCAAAAGTGCAGTAACTAACTAGATGGTTTGATCTAAGGTTATAGCAAGGCATAAGCTGCATGTAATAGGAGGTAGAGGGTATGGTAAGTAGTGTTGTGTGTTTATATTATGTTGCAGGGTATGGTAAGTAGTGCTGTGTGTCTATATTATATTGCAGAGTATGGTAAGTAGTGCTGTGTATCTATGTCTATATCATGTTGCCAGTGTCAAAAAAGATATTTTAATTTTAGTATTTTATATTAAATGTCACAGCTGATGCTGAAGTTGGCTGATGCTGAATTTTAGGGCCCCGTTTAAATCTACAATACCTACTAAAATTCACATATACTTTATTACTAATAACACTAACCCTAAACCCTAACCTAACCCTAAAAAAAAAACCCTAACAAAAGGCCTTCAAAAATTTTAAAATTTCATAATAAAATAAGTTGAAACTTCAGCTTCAGCCAACTTCAGCAACAGCCATAACATTAAATATCAAATAATCTATTAAACAAAAATCCAAATAATTATTTTTTTATGTTCAAGGGGTTCTAATTAATACTTGGTAGTGTAATTTACTATATATATCACTTTAAGAGTTTAAAACCGATTTGATACTAAATTAACATGTTCTTTTTCCCCTTAGTATTTTTTTGGGAGAATGATATTTGTACCCCAAAATTTGAAATTTATACTAAAGTTTTTTTGAACTTTGAGCGAAGATATATTGACAACCATCAAGCCAATTTTGATGAACTTTTTTTATTAAATTCTATGAATCCGTAAAATTTAATAAAAAAAGTTCAACGAATTTGGTCTGGTGATAGTCGAGATACCTTCGCTCAAATTCTTAAAATTAAAACGTCTATCAAAACAGAAACTGCGTCAAATTTTTTTATTTTTTGAGCGAGATATCTCGGTAACCACAAGCAAAATTCGATAAAGTTTTTATTTATTTGAATTATACGAATCTGTAGGATTCAAATAAAAAAAGTTCATCGAATTTGGCCTGATAGTTGTCAAGATATCTTCGTTCAAAGTTTTAAAAAACTCATCTATAAAGTTGTGTGTGTCAAAATTTTTTCAATGTTTGAACGAAGGTATCTTAACAACCACTAGGTCAACTTTGATAAACTTTTTTTATTTGAATCCTACAGATTCTTAGAATCTAATAAAAAAAAAGGTCATCGAATTTAGCTTGGTGTTTGCCGAGATATCTTCGCTCAAAGAATGAAAAAAAATTTAATACAGCCGTTTTGATAGACGTTTTGAGTTTTCTAATATATCTCGACAACCATCAGGCCAAATTCAGATGAGCTTTTTTTTTATTTGAATTCTACGGAATTCAAATAAAAAAAAGTTCATCAAATTTGGCTTGGTGGTTGTTGAGATATCTTCGCTCAAAGTTCAAAAAAACTTTAATTTGTATGGAGGGTATGAATATCAAATTTGGGGGTATTACCCTTTTTTTTCTAAATTTTCTTTAAATTTAAATTTCAACTTCGATTTAATCCTGATACGTATAAATTTGATTTCAATTCTAATTCAATTAACTTTCTCTATATAGTATATAAACTATCGTTCCAGTGGCACTTCTCACTGGAACCACTGGAACTCTGGAAAAATATGGACATCCAGTGGGGTTCCAGCTTCCAGTCCAGCGACAATGAAATAAACATAAAAACGGTGCTTATTTAATGACAAATATGACAACGACCATTATTTTATTAAACTGATAGAATTAATTTATTTCGTTCGGACTATAGCAAATATTTAACTCTCGTATAACTGACTACTTTTACATTGAAAACACCAAAACAATTCTTATTCGTTCGGATAATAAAATTTGGAAAGGTGCAGACGAAGGTGATTCATGGAAGCTTATTGAAGGACTTCTTAAAGACATTAAAGTTCTTGCTATGATCCAAAATCCTTATTTCAAAGAACATGTAGATGTTTGAGCTTTTCAATTCTTAAAACTAATTTAATGGTCTAATTTTACTAATTAAAACTCTGCTTGTTTATAGATGTACTTTATTACACAGTCTGATACACAATATTACACTACTGATGCTGGCGAGACTATAAAAAAAATGAAAGTTCTTTCAAATCCTAATCTCCTTGAGTTACCAATTCTTGACTTCCATCCTACAAAGAAGGGATGGATTATATACACTTCCAGTAAAAATTGTGAGGATATATTTTCGTCTGATTGTAGAGCTCTGGTGTGTACTCGAACATTCGAATAGCATGATATATATGCTTCTCTTAATCAAACATCACATTTTAAAAGCACATCTGTAATATATATTTAAGGCATATTATACAAAAGATAATGGTGAAGAATGGGATGACCTTGATACATACGTTAGAATTTGTTCTTGGGCACTCGATACCAAATTTATTGTTGATGAAGAACTTATCTTTTGTGAATCATACGAAAATAAACGTGGATCACAGAGATCGTTTATCAACAATCCACTTCAATTCTGGTCGTCCAATGACTTTGGTAGAAATAAAAATATATTATTTAATGATATTGTTGGATTTGCTACCTTTGAACAATATATGGTAGTCGCTGAGGCGCGTATTTCTTTTATTAAATTTTAAACCATCTATTTTCTCATTCGAACAGTTAGAGCAATTATTAATAATTTACCGACTTATTAATTTGATAGATCTTGCAATCCGTTCAAGGCCTTCGCTTATGGGTGTCCCTGAATGGTGCCAATTTTACTGAAGCGAAATTCCCGCTTAACATGCAAATAACCAAAAATGTAAGTTTAAATACTTGGTATTTAAAGTGGTTATATTATTATTACTATTCATTTATATTTTTTAGGCTTATACTGTTTTAGAGTCTGTAACCTCTTCTATTATACTACATGTCACCACATCACCCCAAGACCTAAACCCATGGGGGAATATTTTAAGATCAGGTTCCAACGGAATTGATTTTGTTCAGTCTTTGGAGTTTGTCAACCGTGATGAAGGAGGCTTTGTTGATTTTGAAAAAATGCGAGGAATTGATGGAATTGCTTTAGCCAATATAGTCATCAATGTAGATGAATTAAATATGGGCGGTACCAAGAAAAAACTGAGATCTAGAATTACGTTTAATGATGGTAAATTATTAAAAGTGAATTCTTTATAATTTGCATATCTGCTAAATTCTTTTTGTTATTATTTAGGCAGCACTTGGAAACCATTAGCAATACCTGAAAGCGATTCAAATGGTAGATCATACGATTGTAGTGTACTGTATATACGGTTTTCGTATTTTCATATTGTGATTCGTTCATTAAGTATTTATACCTAATTCTGTATTTAGGGTGATTGTTCTTTGCATCTTCATGGTTATACTGAACGCCGAGATCCTCGCGACGCTTTTAGCTCTCCTTCTGCTGTGGGTTTAATGATGGGCGTAGGCAATGTTGGAAACTATTTAACCCCTTATTTGGATGGTGATACTTTTTTATCTCGAGATGCCGGTAAAACATGGATTGAAGTAAGAAAAGGGGCTCACATGTATGAATTTGGTGATCAAGGGTCCATTTTGATCATGGTAAATGACGAAGAACCTGCGAATAGTTTCTTGTAAGTTGATCATTATACGTGTCTCAATACATGCATATTAGTAAAATTTCTAATAATGGTACTGGATGATTAGGTATTCATTTAATGGGGGTGATACATGGAAAGAACATAATTTCACACAATCGACAGAGCGTGTTAGAGTTTATGATATTACAACTTATCCTAGTGGTAACAGCAGTAAATTCCTTTTACGTGGTAGTTATGAAGGAGATTTGAGTAAAGAAGTTGTCATTTATCTCGATCTTTCTGCCAAGCTGCCCAACAAATGTTTGCATTTAAACTTGTCATTTTGCATCATAGTTATAGTTATATTTAGAATACTAATTCTTTAAATATGCGCTAGGCAATGAGGATGATTTTGAAGAATGGATACCGACTCATTCTGAAGAAACGGGATGTTTCTTCGGAAAAAAGGTATGTCGTTAAAAAAGCAACTTTAAATTTACAAATATATATATAATTTTCTTTAAATGTTTGAAGATCAAGTATTATCGTAAAATCTCCGACCGTATATGTCATATTGACGAGGTCAAACATCCTGAAGAATTAGATGCGACGTGTTCTTGCACTGTTCAAGATTATGAGTGGTGAGGAAATAAATTGCTATTAGTTCAATTAAAATTTAAATCAAAATTTATTTATTTATTTATTTTTAGTGGCTACAATTACATCCGTGATGGCGAATCATGTGGAACAGCGTCTAATGTCTTAGAGTACATCATGAAGGAGCAGTGTGCTAATGGTGAAACATTTTGGTATCAACCATCGGGGTAATTTTATTTTTATTTTATTTTTATTTTAAAGCATGATTGTCACGCACAATCGGTGTTAAATCTTTGTATTCAACAGCTACCGCAAGATTCCTATCTCCAATTGTACGGGCGGTCTAAATTTTTCCAAAACTAAAGAACTTTGCCCTCGCGCATCTTCTGCTTTGTTTTGGGGTTTACTTGTTTTGTTATCTCTTATTATTATTGGCGCATATGTTATATACCGAAAACACAATCGTCATTTTGGATATTCGACTTTAGGGTTAGTACTCTTTCTTATAAACTCAGTTTGATAATAGTTTCTAATAGCTCTACGTCTTTAAATTAGGCATATTCGTATTGGAGACTCTCTAAGTTCGATATCATCATTTTTTTCGAGCATACTATCAGTTGCTATGGATCTCATTTCGTTGATCAGAGTACCGACATTTATTTCGCAAATATTTTCGAGGACTCCAACACCAAGTTCACGCTCTAGATATCGATATAGTCCTTTGTCACAAGATGACCACAATGAAAATCAATTCGAAGTCTCGTTAGACGATTACAATAATGATCGCGAATGATTAATTATGAATTTCTTTATATTTGTAATATCTTTTTTTCTTTTTTTGATTTTTAAGAGTGTAATTATATTTTTCAATGAACATTTTAATTTGTAATCAATCTTGACTATTTTTATCATAATAAATCTATGAATATAAAATTCTTTATTATAAATAATGATTGTAGTCGATTTGGCATTAGCTGATAAAGTCGACTTAGTCGACTAAGTAAAACATAGTCGATCCTTAATCTAGAGATTTAGGAGAATTATAAACAAACAACTTTACAGAAAATTCGATATACATATTATTCTACATACTACCGGCTAAGTAAATTTTTTGAATTTCTGTTTAGTCGAGTCAATAAATTTAGTTTGACTACAAACACTAATTATAGACAGTATTACTTTTATTATTATATATTGTTTTATTTTTGTTTCCTTTGTTAAAACAATCTTTTGACTTAGATTATTTGCAATAGTCTGTTAAAGTTTTGCAGTGTTATTATTACAAATAAAATAGAAAAGGAATGTAATTTATAAAATACTTAACGATAATGAAATTTGAAATTTGTTACTTATAATACCATCTAGCACTAGCTTGGTACACATTTCCGCGTTTTGTTATCAGATTTTTATACAAAAATCAATTATTATTCTAAATACAAAATCAATAACATAAATGTCCTATTATTCATTTATTCAAATTACAGTATAAATATGTTAGCACAGTAAAATTTCGGAATTGATACATAGGGCTCTAACCTCTCGCCCAATCAGGAAGCAAGATCAAGTAGGAAAAAAAATTCCTTCATTTGTACTAATTCTAACTTCAACCTCATATATATTTTCTTTTGTCTGCTATCCTTGCATTTACTTGATTGGATAATAAATACATTATGGATCAATCTTCCAATCCTTTGACGTTAGATGTTAACCAAACGACCAATCAAATGAATTCCACTGACACTACTACACTTCAGACTCGTCATCGGAATTTTATACTTGGGTTATCCGCTACTTCTTTTATTATTGGAGTTACCGGTTCATTGTTGTATGCACGACGGAAAAGTAAACTATATTTTATAAATTTTAAATATAATAACCCAGAGTTATTCGGTTAACTATTTATATCTAATCAATTTAGCAAAATCCTTTCAGTCAGACTTCTCATCAAAAAGTGTTAAACTAACTGAATTGGAAGTACTAAATAGATATAAACGAGCTAGTTTTTTTTCGATACAAGCATTTACAATTGGTACAATTCTTTGCATTTCAGTTGGAGGTTTATGTGCAATTGGAGTTGGATCAATTCTTGGTGTTAGTAGCGTAAGTATTGTTTTGTTTCATACATTCAAAAAAAAAGATTTTTTATTTATAAAATAGTTTCACCGACAATAACATATATAGCTTAAAGAATTTCACGAGAAAATGAAAGAGACAATACCAAAGTATACACCAGGTTTACGGGAGTCTATAAGAAAATCCGAACAAGATGAATGGAAAATTTTTCAAAAAGAATTGGAAGTGCATTTATCAGAAAATGAGAATAATTTAATTCAAAAAAAATAAAAAAATAAAAAATGGTGGTGGAAATAATATATGATTAATACTTTATTAATAAATTTTTAAATACATAAAAATTTATTCTTGTAAATAACTTAAATAACTTATGTTTTATCTAATTTTGCGACTAAAAGTAGTATTTTATCAAGCTTCTATTTACCTATCTATTTAGCTGCTTAGCTAACTGTTTAGCTAGCTAATCAAAATTAGAAACTATTTTATTTTAAGTAAGCTAATATAATTTCATAAATTATAATATATAAAAACTTGCTATTTTAAACAATTTTAACTCTAATTTTTAAATTAATTTTAAGAAAATATATTAAATTATATAGTATATAATATATATATACAGTATACAGTATATATTCAGGGAACAACTCTTTCTAATGATTACTTATACCAAAAATTCCCAAATGATTTTTTTAATAAAAACACAACAAAACCAAAGATGGAGAACTATAAACCAGCACCTGTTATTAAGCACTGCCTGGTTAATATCTTAGGGTTGTTGGTGCTACCTATGCCAACTGAGGATTTATACACACAATCTTTATATAATTAGAATCTTTTGTAACAACCATTTGTTACATATAGTGCCATCTCTCCACAATGGTTCTCTTTTCAGAAATTTCTATACTCACTTGGACTTTACCACATGTGAGTATATTTAAATATTTATAGAAAATATATCTACTAAAATCTAAGCCCAAAACCCACTAATGAAGGGTTGGGTGTCTAGACTACTAGACTATAGGATCTCAACTTCATGATCTATTTTTTAAATTAAATAAAATTTAATATAATAATACTGTATTTGAAAATAAGGATTATATTTTTTGCAATATTTGTATTTATATTATAACACTAAAATTTTATAGCTGTTTCCAATTTAGTTGAATAGATAATCTACATAATTTTTTTTTTATCATGAGTCCTGTAATTACAATAAAGGAATTACTTTAGCTTCATTATATTTTACAAAGCTCATTTAGAATCTATATATTTCTCTTTTAATAATAAAGAATTTCTACAAAATACAACAAATATAAAGTGGTTTTCTCTAGTAGATTCATAAACTCACAGGCTAAAAAAAAATTATACAACCTGTTAATCCAACTAAATTAAAAATAGCTGTAAATTGCTTATAAGCTAAAAATCAACAATTTTAAAGAAATTTTTTAACAAAAAATAATTTACAATTTTCTGGTAAATTCTTTAAATATTAGTAAATATAGTTTTTAATACAATATTGTAGTTTATACAAAGAATTACAACTTTTATTATTGCACTTTTAATAATTTACTTATAAAAATTTAGAAGTAAAAATTTTTTAAAAATGAAAATATATAAAAGTTAAAAAAAATAAAGAAAAATTTTATAGTATACTAAAGTTTTTTAATGATTTTAAAAAAATTTTCTTAACAAAGTTTATAAAATATATAATTAAAATTAAGATATTATTAAAAAGGATATAGTGATTTAGTGAAGTGGTCTAAAGTATCACTTCACCAAATAGTAAATCAAATAGACAGCATTTTGAAAAATAGCCTGTGTTATAATAACCAGAGTACTGATTATCAGATCATAGAGATTTGTAGCTTAAATTATACCAAGATTTATTCTTAGTAGTATTTGTATTATCTGAGAAACTCTAGAATTACAAAGAAATGCAAACTGGTTTAGAGCAGTGCAAACACTTGATAATTTCAAGATTGATAGTAAATTTCAAAAATTATTCTAAGTATAGAGAACCTGCTTGAAAAGACTCAAATTAAGAGTAGTAGCTAACTTTCAATAGTATTACAGAATAAAAGACTATATTGAAAACTCAACTAGAGATCTAATAATCATAAACCTTATAAATTTGGGGTTATACTAATCTGGCCACTGGAGTTATACTGGAGGTAGGGTTCTATTGTTTGGTCCGGGTTTGATTTGAGTTTGATCAAACCCCAAATCAAACCAAACTCAAACTATAAATTTTATAAAAGTTTGAAATC